TGTGGAATATGAAGAGAGAGGAGGATCCCCGTTTGCTGATGACATGGGCATGAACTTTAGAGCAGCATGGTGTGGGTGGCACTGGACAGAGAGGTGAGTGGTGGGGAAGTGCCAGAGGGCACATGGGCCTTCAGTTAGGAGGCTGGTCTGTTGAGGGAGGAGGTCCAGGACTCGGGCGCTTGGGACCTGTGTCTCTCCCTCCTCCACTTGTGGGAGGTGCTCCCCGGTGCCCATGGACCCCAGCTTCCTTCCCTTGCAGCTCCACGATTCGGGTTTCTTGGTCCTCCCTATTCCTGGCCCCCATCATGAAGTGAGCAAGGCCCTCTTCCTGTAGTGTCGCAGATGCCTCATTCTGGAACTTTCCATATGCTGTTTCTTCTGTCTGCAGCGTTCTTCTCTGAGAGATTTCCAGAGCTGTCTCCTTTCACTGATATTCCTTGCAGAGGCTTTTCCCACCCCCACCTCCTGCAGTTTCCTCCAGCCCAACATCTATTTTCTTCAGAGCTCTTACCACTGTTGGAAATTATCTATTTAGCATGGTGTTTATTTGTTCCGGTCTGTTCTCCAGCCCCTGAAATGTAAGTTCTTTGACAGCAGGAACACCGTGGGCTCATTCATTCTTGTTTCTCGGCACCTAGGAGAGGGACCAACATGGAGAAAGCTCTTAGTTAATATAGGAGAAAATAAGGGATGAATAAATTTCCACTGGATGGCTTGTTCAGTTTCAGATATTAGAAAGACTTGAGAGCCCGTAGGGCGGGCCAAGGAAGCTGAGGCCTGTGGTGGGGCACCGTCGTATCACATGCCTCATAGGAGTGCACTTGCCTATACTCCCTATACTGTTTCTTTTCTCTGGGGAGCTGGATGCCTCTCCTGGGAGCCTCTCCCCATCCCCATGGGTGACCAATGCCCTCTTTCGTGGTTTATGCCTCTCCTTGTGGCCTTGGACAACTGTGGGCCATTTGCCTCTTCCTGCCCTTTCTGGGCTGGGGCTGGGGCTGGGGATATCCCATCAGCTCCCTGCCCAGTGGGGGTGGGTCTGGTTGGAGGAGGTGCACTAGGAGTGGTGCCTGGGCTGGCCATTATGCACAGGGACCTTGCAGGGGAGGCACTGGGCCAAGGTCCAGAACCCCAGGGGGGCCAAGGGGCTTCTGGGGTGCACACTCTGCTGCCCATGGGAGTAGCCCCAGCTCTGTCCCTAGTCTACCTTCTTGGAGAATTTCCCTTCCTGGGGAGCAGCAGTGGAGAGCTGGATTTCTTGAGGGGATGGGGGTAGGGGGCATTGCAAACCCGGTCTGTTGTAGGGAGGAAAGGACTTGTGTTGGAGAAGTGGGCTTCCTTGGCCCTGTTCCTGGGGAATGTCAGGAGGGCTGCAAAGTTAGCATAAGCTCTCACGTTTCTCTGCTCCCAGCCCTCGCCATGTGCAGTTGAATAAGAGCTTCAGAGGCTGAGAGCTGACCTTTTCAGCCAAGTGGGAGCAGGCGGTTATAGCCAGGGGCTGTGGTCCCTGGGGAGTGTGCCTTCAGCCCTCATCGCTTGTTCCAGGGGTGAGGAGCCAGCTGCTGACAGGGAACTTAAATTCTCTATGATGGCTCAGTCCCAGCCGGGGCTGCCTGGAACAGTAGGCAGAAGCAGAGCAGGTGAAGGTGTGCAGGAGCTCTGACGACTTGTGTTTTCCATGTGTGCATATCCTTGTGTCTACTTAGGGGTCCCAAGACAGTTGCCTGCACACAGTGGCACCTCCTGTTCCCTAAGAAAGTGGAACAGTCCTATAGGTTGAGATGGTTTTAGGCAGGGGGACCTCAGGGAAGGGACCTCAGGGGACTTCGCGCCCAGTTTGGGAGGACTAGCCATGCTGGCATGACGTATGAGGTCCCTAGAGCCCTATTGGACTCATGGACACAAGGACATGGACACAGAGCCATGCTGGAGCCCTCATTGTGCATGTGCTCGTGTACAGGTGCAGAAAGCATGCCTCTGCAGACATGGTTAGTCTCTGCCACTTAAAAATTTTTTTTAAATGTTTACTCAGTTTTTGAGAGAGAGAAAGAGAGAGAGAGAGAATAGGGAAGGGGCAGAGCGAGAGAGGGGGACACAGAATCTGAAGCAGGCTCCAGGCTCTGAGCTGTCAGCACACAGCCCTATGCGAGGCTTGAACCCATGAATTGTGAGATCATGTCCTGAGCCAAAGTTGGATGCCCAACTGACTGAGCCACCCAGGTGCCCCTCTGCCAGTTTAAAGACTTGTGATGGCCTTGCAAGGTGCAGAAGAGGAGTGGGAACTGGTAGATATGGGTCTGAGGGTGCCACCTTCATGCCTGTCCCAGTCAGCCCTCAGTGTCTTGTCAGCTGTGCTCACATCTGGGTCAGATTAAGCCATGGGGGCAGTGAGGCTGTTGGTGTCCAGGTGAAGGGATGGGGCCACAGAGGCTGTGACCTTGCCTGATCTGGCTCACGCTCAGCTCCACGTGGGCAGTGCCGTGGGAAAGCTGTGTTGGAGTTACTTTTAAGACATAAGCCCTGTTCTTTCATTGAAGTTCTCATATGCTATACGAGATAAAGATGTCTGATCAACTCGCTCTGTCAGTATGCATTGCTGAGAAACACACTATCCCAAGATTTAGTGGCTTAGAACAAGTCATTTATTATTTGTTGTGCGTCTGTAGATCAACTGGACAGTTCTGCTCTAGGCTCGCTCGAGTAGCTGGATGCGGTTGACTTGTGACTGAGGGTGGCTGCCTGGGGGCCCACCTGAGTCTCCACGTGTGTCCGCATCCCTTCAGCAGGCCAGCCCCGGGTGTTCTCATGGTGGTGGCAGGCTCCAAGAGCGGAAGCAGAATGCACAAACGCCTATTCAGACCTCTGCTTACACCAAGTCACAGCTGTCTTATAGGTCAGAGCAGGTCGTGTGTCCCAGAGTAGAGGCTCGAAGGGTCTTCAGAGTGACAGGGCACGAGGCACAGGAAGAGGGAGGCCATTACCAGGGGTCTAAATCTCCCATATTTGGGAACATCATTTACACCATGCTGGTTACGAGATAGTTTCTCAGGCAGTACCATGCAATAGAACTTCTGCAGTGATCCATCATAGATGATGGCTATCTGTGGTGCCCGCTATGGTAGCCACCAGCCAGATGTGGTGGGTAAGTACCTAAAATGTGGCTAGTGTGACCGAGGAACTGAGGTATAATGTTATTTAATTTTAATGAATCTAAGTTTAAATTTAAACAGCCCCATGTAGCTAGTGGTTGCTCTATTGAACAGCCCAGATCCAGGGGGAGACCATCCTGGGCACAGATAGAAGGCCGTTGCCTGCCTAGCATGGGAGTGGCTGCTGGACCTGGGTTTCTGCTTGGGCCGGGTGTTCAAGCTTATTATTGGCAGGTGTGAGTTGTGATGTGCTCAGGAGAGGGGGTGGCTGGGGTTGACTGAGTTTTTTAGCTGGGGGTCCCCTCCACCTGTTGCACCTCCACACCCTGAGCCATCTCTGCACCTCTGCCCTGTCATTCCCTCTGTTCGGTTAAGAGGACTTCTTAAAAACCTCTTTTAGCTTCTCTTTCAAGAGGCTTTGGGACTCCAGGTCTCTAAGGACCCAAGCAGGCTGTGAGGACTGCGTGGCCTCCCTGGGAATCTGAGGGGTGTCTATAGCCAGGGGCCTGTGTGTCGGGAGCCTCTGGCGCTGTGGCAGGATCTCTGTTACCTTTTCATACTTCATAGCTTTGGGGGAGGGGGCAAGGCCTTGATGAAGAGAGCCTGACCTGCTGCCTGGTGCCATTTTCCTGTGTGACTCAGTGGGCAGAGCAGCACTGGGACCCCCGTGCATTGCAGGCAAGCAGCTCTGGGTAAGTGTCTGTCCTTCAGGGGCCTGGTTGCCGTTGGGCAAAGCTGGCTGAGGTCATGGCTGGACTTGAATACAGGTGCCACAGGATTGAATATTAGTCCCGCATTTGCCATCCCTAGAAAGGCTCTCAGGGCTCTTATTGGGGCACTGCTGTGCCCTCCCCACGAACCATTAGGAGGTTGGTTCTCTGTGCCTCCTAGGTGCCGGCCCCTGAGACACAAACAACTGGGACCCTGAAGAATTGTGGTTCCTCATAGTCCTGTGAAAATGGAAGTCAGAAATTTACATCCCCAGTTTATAGATGAACAAATTGAGGCACAAGGTGGATGGAAGATTTGCCCATGTGTTTAAGGAACTATCCAAAATTCTAAGTGTCAGAGTCCATGGCAAGTTCCTAGAGCCTATTCCAGGGCTTCCCCCGTGGTGGGAAATTGGGGCCCCCTGCACATTTCCCCCCAGCACCCCAGTCATGACTTCCATGGCGCCCTGGTCTCCTCCCTGACACTGTGTCTTGTTTTCCATAACCACTCTTGTTACGTCTCGCTGGGACTAGACTTACTGGTGAGTCTGTCATCCTGGAAAGGTGGGCAGCTGAGGGTTCACTATAGCAGCTTGCATGGTGCCTGGCAAGCTCAAGAAGTTTGTGGAATGGGCATGAAGGGAAAGTCTGGGAGAGTAATGGGTTGGGAAAGGCGCTCTGGTTGAATTAATACTGTTTACTGTGAATTTGATTCTGGGGGAGTGGATGGGGCAGGGTGTGCCCATGGTGGCCCATGGGCATCCCAGGCTCCGGGAGAGAGCACCTTGTGTGACATGGGCAGGCCCAGAGCATCCTGTGGAGGGGGCAGCTCAGGTGTGGAGGACAGAACTGCTAGAACTTTTGCTCCCATTGGGTGGAAGCAATAGGGAGAGAAAGGGAGGTCATCACAAAGGGTTTTCTGGCCACAGGACCTTTTGGATGGTGGGGCATGCTCCTCACGGTGGGAGACACTCACCCTGGGGCCAAACAGATGTGTGGGTGTTTTCCATCTCTGTTCAGTGGTCACTGTGGCAGACGTGAGCCGTGGCTTGTGGCAGCGGCCTGTACCTGGCGCGGAGCATTGGGGTTAGACCCTTCCTGCTTAAAGCTCATTCTTTCCTCCCCCTTCTCCACTGCTTAGATATCCGTGGGCTCCAAAGCTTTCTGGATCAGGCCTCGCGGCTGGGCCTTGACGTCTCTTTGCAAAAGGTGGACAAGAACATTAGCCACGTGTTCACCAGTCTCTTCACCACGATGAAGACAGAGGAGCTGAACCGCTATCGGGACACACTACGCCGAGCCATCCTTCTGCTCAGCCCGCAGGGGGCCCACTCCTTCATCAATGAGGTAAGTGGTGGGGCCTGGGGCCGCAGGAGCCTCTCCCCGGGGTGCTGTGGGGTGGCCCAGGTGGCTGCCAGGCACAGCCTACTCGTGCAGGAGCAAACTGGATGTGGGGACTCCTGGGTGCTGGGCCCACAGCACATTCCAGAAAGAGACCCCGAGCACAACCTGGCTCCCGACTGATCCCCAGCAGGTGACCCAAGGCCTTCATGGACACTGAGAGGCTGGGGGCAGCTGGCGGGAAGCCTGTTTACAAGTCTCTGCCAGGGATACCTGAGGCCAAACCCAGGCTGTGGTTTGTTTGTGGTGGTGGTGTTTTAATTTTCCTCTCTTTGTTGACAGGTGTAAGCCTCTAGGGATAAAATAAATTTCCAGCTTTCTGTAGAGGTGGGCAGCTCTGCCTTGGTATTTGTTAGCACCTGGAGGAGGTGTTGGTTGCATAATCTCAAATGATACTTGGTGTGCGTGCTTGTATTTTTGGTGCCTGGCTAATCAGTGCATTTTTTTTAAACACCTCTATCAGGGGTTAGGGCCTTCTAATGAAGACAGGGCCCAGCAGCTTAACAAAGAATTTGGTGTCTTGAGAATAGGCAATGAGAAATACTCTCTGAGTTGGCTGATGGTGCCAGCCCTGGCGGTCTGATGGCAGAAAGGTGACGAGCTGGACGCAGCAGGTGCTTCTCTGGCCTGGGTTGGTTTCTAGGGGTGGGGGCTGTGCTGGGGGTGTGGTGTGCCTGGGAGGAGGGGTGGACCAGAGGGGTCGCCCGGTGCCCAAATGCTCCCTGCGATTTCCTTTCCAACCCCAGTCACCTGTTTGGCTGTCTCTGATTGAAAGGAAAATGAAGAGAAAGAATTATACTAATTCCAGTTGATGTACTTTGGTTGCTTATTCCGCTTTCCCCTCTAATTAATTATTACTCAGAATGCTACCTTACGCATCAGGAACCGGCACAGAGCCCACCGCCAGAGAACTTAAAATTCGGAACGCTTAATTTGGTGCAGTTGGCTGCCAGCCCTGCCGCTCTTGGCCTAATCAGTGCCCAGATCACGCTGGTGGTCAGCCAGGCTGTGATGTCCTGTCGGCGCCCGGCATTTTCTCGGGAACACGTTTCCCTGTAGGAAGTGATTCAGGCCAGTAATGGGCAGCCTGGGATCGGCTCTAATGCATCCAGGCTTTCTCAGAATGTTCCCAGCAGCGCATGTGTCGGTGTCTGCTCACAGGAAAGCTTTTGTCCTTGCTAAATTCCCCCGGCCGGAGTCTGCTCTGGTGAAGGTGTCCACTAATTCTGTTGCTGGGCTTCTTCCTGTCTCTTTTTGCCCATATCTTGCCTCCTCTGCTTGCTTCCTTTCTGCCTTGTCACTGCTCTGTTGTTAAGCTTGGGAGTGGGAAGAGTATTGGCTTCGGAGTTCAGCAGATTTGGGGTCAAGTCCCAACTCCTCCACTTAGTATCGTTGTGACCTTGGGTGATTTGCCTCACCGGTGAGACCTCAGTTTCTTCATCTGTAAAGTAGGGATGAAGGAGACTAGAGCGATGGTAAAGCATTTGGTACATAGCTTTTTAGGAAACATCATATTCACTGTTTCCCTTCCAGATGAATTCAGCCCTTGCTCTGTTTCTAGGCCCTGTAGGGATTTAAGATGCAAATAAGACTGGCCTAAAGATATTATTTCCAAGTGGATAATTATGCAAACTTCTGCAGTGTTGGAAATACTTGGCTTGGCTTTGGCCTGTTGCCTTCTTGATCCCCCCCTTGCCCCCCCCCCCTCCTGTGTTTGCAAAGTCTTTGCTTTGCTGGGTGCTGCAGAGCTGGGGACGCCCCAGGAGGGGCTACTCTGAATGCAGGGCAAGAGTGACAAGCCCCTGGGAGTGCTGGCCGGAGACCGTGGGGAAGGAGGGCACCTGGGCTTTTTTGCCTTCAGCTCCAGCTGGTCAGGGTCTTGGTTTTCGATCTCATATGCCTGGGGTGGGGGTGGGGAGGTTTCATTTCCTGGGTACCCACCATGGTCCTGGCCCTTTGTGTGCTTTCCCTAATTGTCATGGTCTGCAAATGGGGCAAGTGAAGCTGAGGAAGTTAAATGATTGGCTTTAGGTCACACAAGTAGCCACCGGTTAATTGGGCAGGAGTCAAATCCAGATTTGACCCACTCCAGGGTCCCCATTTGCCATGTTGTTGGGATGAGAGAATATTATCGTGTCGGTGGTAGGTCAGTGTGGCCATGCTCCGTTCCTGCTGGGGGATATGGCTCAACTGCCTCTGTCCAAGGTCTGGCAGAGGATTTTAGGGTGCTTATGCTCAAAGAATTTTAGGGCATCTACTAAAAACAGTAAGAGAAGGAAGGTGAATGTGACATGTATGGCTGGCTAGTCCAGAAGATCCTCTGGGAGACACCTTGGGAGGCCATCACTGCACAAAACCTTCATTCACTGCCTGGAGGCCTTGCTTGGGCTTTCTGAGCAGACTGAGCCCACCTCTTGTTTGTTATAATGAGGATAGAGGGTGTTCGCAAGGCTGATCCACTGACGGGACAGGTCCTGAATTTTAAGAAACTCAGAACACTGTTATGGGGCAGTAAATGGCCTGAGAGCCCCACAGCTATTGAAGACACATGGATATTATACCCAGTCAGGACTGGTGTGTGCGAGCCACAGTAGTGGTGGGGTATGTCGCTCTCCTGACTGTAATTTCTCCCTTCCCCACTCAAAAAGCCCGGCTGATGGGAGGAGGGAGAAACATGGTTCTGCCTGAATCTTCTACATTTTGCTACATGTGAATCTGTTGGGAAGGCTGGCACTTTCACTATCGCTAGTGACAAATTCTGTATGATGTGGACTTGGCTGCCTGGGACTTGCCAGGCTGTCCACATGCTGTGTTGGGAGCTGTGTCTCTGTCCAGTGTCCAGGATGCGTGCATTCAATGTGGGGGACTCAGCCTGGGGGCCCATGCACCACCGGCATCTCTGTGATCCCACTTTATGAGAAGCCATCCTGGCTGGGAGCCGTGGGGGAGTCTGGCCTTGGTAGCGGGTGGGTGTCAGCAGAACAAGCAGGCCGAGGCCATGGGGGGAGGCACGTGGGCTCATATAACAGGCCCCACCTCAAGATCCCCTCACCTTCCATCACTCAGTCTTGAATCCACATTCCCTCCTCTGGGATCTTTTTATCACAGTCTACACAACCACCACACTAGTGCGTTGTTTTTAAAAGGCCCCCCTTGGGGAAACTGGGCTCAGGGGTGACAGCACTCTGGTCCCTTGGTCCCAGACCTGGAGCCCACTGTGGGGTGCCCTTGGGGACTGCTGAGGGCATAGGCCATAGAGAATCCTTCTTCCTGAAAGGCTTGTTTTGCTCTGGGATTGCCATTGGATCTCTGAGTAAGGGTAGGCAGCACTTTTTAATCACCCTAACTGGGAAGTGAGTTGGACTCATTCTATCCTCAGCTGGGCCTTGATATGTCTGTAGACCACTGACTGCTAAGTGGGGCTTCATTACGCAGTGATACCCACTATGCCGCTGTCTCCATGTAGCCTGTCAGCCTGAACCACCCGCTAGGGGTTTGGGGATGTGAGTGTCCTCTCCTCACTCCAGGGCCGTGGGAGTCCTGAGAGGGGCTGAGGGCAGAGGCTTTGCCTGGGAATCCTGTCTGTAGCTATTGGAACCTTCTTCCTTCTGTCTGTGGGTTCCATCTTTCATTTCTCTAGAATTTAATGAGCCTGAGTGCCATGTCAAGTTTTGTGCTGGGCACTGAGGCTGTTGTCCCTGCTCACATGGAGCTCCCAGTTTGGTGGGGAGGAGAGAGGTGTGAACAGACTCCTTCACCTGTCAGAGCAGAGGTGTGGACCAGGTTCTGTGAGAGTGCCAAGGATGAAGCAATGCCCTCTGGCCAGGGAGAGATGGGGGTGGCCAGACGCTCAGGGATGCTTCCTGGAGTAGGTGACACTGGGGCTGGGTCTACAGGAATGAACCTTCATTAACCTCATGGCCAAAGGGAATGCTGGGGGACAGAAGTCTGGAGAGCCCCAGTGTTTTCAGGGACTTGTGCGTCATGTGGTTTCAGCAATGGATGCACAGGGTGGAGAGTGGATGAGGCTGAGGCTGGGGTATCAGCAGGAAGGGGTCTCTGATCCAAGGTGGGGAGTCTAAACTTCAGGACCAGTTTGTTCTTGGTGTCCTTTTTGGAGTCTTTGAGGCTAACAGTTTACAGTGCACTCCATAACCACAGCCCCAGTGCTGAGAAGGGTATGTATGTCTTATTGTCCCTTCTTCTTGGGCCAGGTTTGATAGGGAGACCTCCAGTGCACACTCAGTTTTGGTCCTGGGCTTCATCTCGTCTTCCTGGAGGTGATTCCATCCATCTGTCCCTCATCTGTCCATGTGTCCGTCTGTTTGTCCGTGCATGCATGCATGCATGCATGCGTGTATCCATCCATCCATCCATCCATCCATCCATCCATCCATCCATTCATCCATCCTTCTGTCCATCTATCCATCCTCCTACCTAAACACCCAACCATTTAGTACAGATTGGGTGCCTACTATGGATGCCTACTTGGGTGCCTACTATGCACTCAGGCTCATATGGACCAGGAGCCATATCAAGTACTGGCTGGGGACACAGAGGTGGTGTCTCCTCCTGGAAACCTACATGACGTTAAATATTGTGGCTACACCACCATGACCATAGTCGTGTTGGGCATTCGCAGTGGCTGGCCTAGGTGGCATACCCCAGAGCTCTCATCCACTGAGGATTCCTCTGGAGGTGGGGGTGGGGTACTCCAGGACTTTGTTCTTTCAGTTCTTTTTTGTCATTTGTGTGCCCCTGCCTCTAGATGGACTTAGGCCTCCCTCTTTCCTATTGTATCCTCCTTGTTTCTTCCTCTCCCTTCCTTCCCTGTCTCTTTCGTTTTTCTAGAAAGAGTAAGAAACAAAGTATTTGAAACATTTGTGCACTCTTGAAGAAGAGTTGCCCAGTTCCTGAGGCAGACAGCAGCCAGCAGGTCCCGGCAG